TTTTTTTTTATCCAATCAGAATTAGTATATAATGCATTCTGATTGGCTAAAAAGCATTTATATAGACTCAAATTTGACGCATTTGATGTAAAGTGACTTGGAGCACCATACCAATATTCATACAACAAATACTTATTCAAACAATCAAAAAATATACAAAATCTAATGCAACTACAACTAATATAACTATCAAATTTATAATTTATTTATTACAAAAAATTTATGAATTAATATGAAAATCATATTGTAATAAATTTACAATATAGAAAAACCAAAACAATATATCTAAAAAATTACTTATATATAAAATCAAACAAACAATAATTAGTTAAACAATATTAAAACCAACTATACACATATAGTTGTATATGTGAACTACCAAATAGTAATTTTAACCGATCAAAATTTTTAGCTATGATTAAGCTAATAAATTTACCAGCTTAACCGGCTTAGCTGATTTTAAAATTATATCATTTAATTTAGGTTTTACTAAAAATTTTTTGGCCTCTACCTTTCCCGTATTTTAGATTCAACCTCGAATGCTACAATCTTATTAATAAAATCAACCAGCCAATTTTAAAAAAATTGATCAGTTAAGCCGATAATTTATTTTTAGTCAATTTTTTTACTATTGGCCAAGATTACTACTACCAAATCAATAATATATAGACAATATATGCCCACCTTTTGACAAAGCTATTAAAATGATATTTTTATAGTTAAATCAATAGATTAAATATAATACCCCAACAAATAACATATTATTATATCAAATCTAGATGAGTTTTAACTACTTTAGTAACTTTAGGTTGCAGATAGCTATAGTTAGTCATAATTGTATCTATTTATAGTTTGAGTCTTATTCTTGTAAAAATTTATAATCAAGCTCCGGTTCAGAAGATCCCCTGGAAGACCTTCAATACAAATATAAATAAAGATAAAGGCAAAATCTCACCTTAAAAAAAAAATAAAAATAAAAAATAAAACCTATAGTAATTAACAATTTCAGTACTCATTTTATAACATACTTTTAGTACTTTAATTATAATTTTTTATACTTCCAATTAAATTAGTCCATATGTATAGCCCGCTTTTTCTGTTTGGTGACCAGGTTAAATTTTAAAGGGATCATTGTATACATGACGACCAAGTTGAAAATCCACTAATAAACCTGCAGCGAAAGCTAGGTTTGATTAGATTACCAACCCAAAATACATTATACAGTATATGCATACATATATCCAATATTTCGACATTTAAAAATTTTGGCGAACATAGCTAATAAATACGTGTATATCTGTATATGTGTTGTGTCTCGGATTAACGCCTGAGTTAGGGTCAGGATTAAGCTATGGTTTAGGCTTAATCTGGTCAAACAATCATTACTTAGCTGACATCTGATGCAAGTATTAATCTGAGGCACAATATGTGTATAGAATGTAAAGTTATAATAAGTCAACGAACGACTAGAAATTAGGGAAATTGTAATTTTTATTAAGAAACAAATTACTAATAGTTCATAAAGGGATTTGCTGTGCGAACTCACTTTGATCTCATTATATAATAGTCTTTTCTTTTATATTGTAAAATGGAAGTAATCATGATAATAGTAATACAAGCAATGCAAAAAAAAAAAAGAAAATAAAGTTAAATTCAACAATAAGCAAGAAAAATTATAACACAAATATGGAGTAGCATAGTCTTTAATCATATTCGTGTGTCTAACTTTGAATGCAGATTATTTATAATGTAGTCTATTTTTTACGGTGAAAGATATCATGGAATATTCCGTGTTTACGGTGGTCCTTAACATGGTCATCTAAAGACAAAATGGCAAATGAGCAAACGTAGCAATAGTCATTATAAAGACATCGATTAAACAGAAATCGATACCTGTGTGACCAGCATCCACCGAGTCTCGGCCTGAAGATGTTCGGCTTTGATGTTCTTGCTGATACGTATACGGTTCTGACTGCTGCTGATACTGTTGTTGTCTATTCATAGAATAGGATAGGCCTCCATCCTGAATCGGTAAATTTATGGACCTCGAACTACTATTTTGAATTCTATTATTGTATGTCGAAAACTGACTACTGCCGTCAGATGTTTCAGTGGTTTCAGTAACATTACCCTAAGTTAATTGAAATAAAAAAATTAAGATTTGGATAAAATACGAATATTTAACCTTCAGATAGATCCTTACCTCTGCATCCTCAATTCTTGTAACAGTTGTTCTAACCCCATTAATTATTTGTGTAGAGGTGGATTTTTTAATGAACCCGCCATTACCGGATCCGCTAGAAAACGAATTGGTTGACATCGAATATGAAGAAGATGGAAAACCTCCCAATCCACCAAAACCAAATGGATCAAATGGTGATCGAAATTGTGGACCGCTATTAAAGCTCGACGTTGATGAAAAATGATGAGGGGGGAAATTATTAAACATACTACCGAATATAGGGTCACCTGAAATAAAGAAAAATGTTGATAAGGACAATACAAAATTTACAGACACTAAATTAATTAGTCAAGATTAGTATTCTTACCGAACACATCATTATTTGGGAACGAAGAAAAGAACTGACGGAATATTTCTTGAGGATCGTGAAACTAATAAATTAGGCAATAAGATAAATTTAGTAAATTAAAAATAAAATAAAAAAAATAAAATGAATTCATACGTGGAATGGACGGTGTTCATAAGTGGGACCGCCATTTTTGAGGCCTTCTTCGCCGTACTGGTCGTATATTCTCCTTTTTTCAGCTAATAGTATAAGAGCATACTAATTAATTAATTCGTCCCGGCAAAGTTAATAGGCATAAAAATTAGTAGAGGATTGTACCGTCGCTTAATATTTCATAGGCCTCCGCGATCTGTTTAAATTTGGCTTCAGCCTCTTCACGATTTTGTACATTCTTATCGGGATGCCATATCAAAGCTTGAAATTACAAAAGATCGTAATCGTTATAAACGGAAAGAGAACAATAATACGAGCCAACAAACATAAATCGCAAAATACCTTGACGTCTATAAGCTTTACGAATATCCTCTTCCGTTGCATTGACATCAAGGGCTAAAATTTCGTAATAATTTGCCATTTTAACGCTTATTGCTTGAGCAAATTTTATGTAGAAGTGAAAGAATGTAAAGGATGGCTCAATTGCTTTATGTGTACTAAATTTTCCCGATTTTTTCTAGAGGATTCTTTGGAACAATTCTCACGTGTCGAGATAGAGGGTCACGTAAAAACGGAGGTTTAGCTCCGTTCTAAAATTTCTAGAGATTACTCAGCGGAGAATGCTGTCTAATCGAGAAATCATCGGTATATTATTTTTCGCGTAGGGATCAATAAAATATTTTTCGTAATGTAATAGAACATTAGTTTCAAATAACTTGTTTTTATTAATTACATCGAATCGTATCCTAGAGTTACAACTAAATTTTCATAATAAATTTGGGTTCTACCTAGTGTTGTTAATGGGTTGGTTTGGGTTATAAACCAGTAGAGTAAATCTAAAACCAAACCAATCTAGTTTAATCACTCTATAGTTTATACTCCAGTTTATACTCTAGTTTACACTCTAGAATAATTTAATACTCCAGAGCAATGCTCCAGTTTATATTTCAGTTTATACTTCACAGTAGTATTCTAGAGCAATGCTCTAGTTTCTACTCTAATTTATACTTCAGGATAGTACTCCAGAGTAATACTTTAGTTTATACTCTAGAGCAGTACTCTAGAGCAGTACTCCAAAGCAATACTCCAGATTATACTCCAGAGCAATATTTTAAAGCAATACTCTAGAATAATACTTCGCAATATATCGCTATTTAAATTAAATTTAATTTTAAAATTGAATATATGCCAAATAGATATTTCACAGGATAATAGTAAAATCACGTTGTTTACTATTATTCTGTGTGTTCACAAATATTCATTAAATATATAACTATAACTTATTGCACGGGTCTGACATAACAACTTGTGTGACATCTTTCACATTAATAAAAAGACAATTTAAATGATATTATGAAGGCTCTGTCCAATAAGAATTTTTTTTAAAAAGCAAAGAACTAAATTTAATTATGCAAAATTTCAATTACTGTATATATATTCTTATCCAAAATTTAAAAGAAATAAAACTTTAATCATATAAAGAATCCTGTTCAATGAAAAATAAAAATAAAATAACATGATTTTGTTTAGTATAATATAGAAAGTGAAGATTTAATAATAAATAACCTGTCTAATAATAATTTTAAAAACAGGAGTTTAATAATCAATAATTCAGTATATTAAGAATTATAAAAAAAATTTACTGTAATAATATGACTAATTGAACAAGAATTTAAAAAAGTAAAAATTAATAAAATGTTGCTAACTTGCCTCTTTGATTATATAACCATCCCATTATGCTATCTTAAAAACTAGACCAAATAACCATATTTGATATATTAAATAAAATATTCAGCACTATAAAAAACCTTATTCTAGCCTATCTTTAATCCTAACTCTAAACTTTAACTCTTTTTATAATATTAATTCTAATTTTAATTTAAAA